GTACCGTGTACCGTCGCTGGTACAGAGAAGTGATGGAACTTCCTGCCACTGGCCACGACACAACGAGCTGTTGACACTCCCGCGTCTCGATAGCAACTATGGTCGAGTTGGAGCTCAAGACTTTTATGTTCGTTTTTTATGAGTCAAAAAATTATCACAATGAAGAAAATGAAATATATTGACAAACATAATTACTCACGTTGTGATGCATTTATTTATTTTATTTTATTTACTTATATATTCTAGAGTTCGTACATTCTTGTACAGCCACTAGCACGCATAACGTTTCGGGCAGGTCCTTTATCCTAATTGTTCCCCGGAATACGACCCGACAAACCGCTTAACAACCAGATACCCATTTAACGAGCCAAATCGTTTAACAACCAGGTACCCATTTACTTAGACTTAACAAAAAACAACTAATAATTTCGGGGGATTTTAATATTGAACTCTGCGAGCCTGATAACCCTCATGCTGCTAGTTTCGTCAAATGTATGAATTCCTGCTTCCTTGTTCCCTTAATCACTAAACCAACTAGAATCACGGATACGACTGCCTCTGCTCCTGACCACATCTGGACTAACATAACCTCTCAACTTCAGAGATAATCACTGATAGGACCACAGACCATTACCAAACATTTCTCCTAACCAACATTAGTAAACCACCTCTAGAGACAATGAAGATAAGCTTTAGGCTGCACAATGAAACTTCTATAAGCAACTTTATTGCTGCTGCTGTCAATATGAACTGGGAGGCTGAATTAAGTAACATAGTGAACATCAACCTAGCAGTGCAAACATTTCTTCAGAAAACTTTGAACCTCTATAACACCCACTGTCAAATGCTAAAGAAACGAGTCACAACTACAAGGTTAAACTAATCCATGACTTACAAAAGGATATACTTAAATCTATTAATAAAAAACAGGACCAAGAGAAGAAGTATAGGTTAGGACTCGTCTCCAAAGAAGTTTAAAAAATTTACTCATCAATGCTGTCTAAAATAATTAGAAGAGCCAAAGTAAAATACTACAAAAATAAATTTAACCAAATTAAGTGCAACATTAAGAAAGCATGGAGCACTATTTCCCAAATATTAGGATCAAAAAATATTTTGAATAAAAACCCAATACTCTTATCCAATGACGATGGTGTGCTTTCAGCCTCTGAGACTGCTATTGAATTCAATAGGTTCTTCTAATCCATCGGCACATCTCTTGCTAATGATATTCTATCTTCCCTAACTAATGTTAAGGACTATCATACAGGTAACTATCCAGAGTCTCTGTACCTAGCTCCCGCTAATTCCTCTGATGTTAATAAGATAATCCTTTCCCTTAAAACTAAGTCAAGTGCACTTGCTGAGGTACCATCTCTAATTTACAAAAAAGCCTCTAGATTTTTAGCTCCTGCCATTGCATTGCTCTTCAACAAATCACTTGAACTCTAAACATTTCCGGATATTCTAAAAAAAAAAGCGAGAGTAACCCAGTCCATAAATGTGGTGATCTCACGGATGTCAATAATTTCAGACCTATATCAGTTCTGCCAACTTTTTCAAAAATATTTGAAAAGCTAATCTACAAGCAGCTTTACTCTTATCTAGCCAAACACAATACACTTATCTCTTGCCAATATGGTTTCTGACCCCAAAAAACACTAACGATGCACTTATTAGTATGATTAACTTGATACATGCAGCTCTTGATGAAAAGGAGTTCCCTGTTGAATTATTTGTTGACCTATGGAAGACGTTTGACACTGTCAACCACCAAGACCTTCTTCTTAAATTACATCATTAAGGAGTCAGAGGTCACTCCTTCCAATACCTTCAGTCTTACCTTACCAGCAGGCTCCAGTATGTTTCTATGAATAATTCCATTTCTCCTACACTACCCATCAACATTGGTGTTCCACCGGGCAACGTACTTGGCCCTCTCCTCTTTCTCATCTACATTAATGATCTTCCAAATGCCTCTCAATACCTCAAGCCAATTATATTTGCTGATGACACAACCTTTATATTCTTCAGTCCTGACCCTCTTGCTCTAAATGTCAGAGTGAATACTGTGCTAAATAAAGTCCATCATTGGCTAACTGCTAACAAACTCACCCTTAACATTAACAAAACCTATATTTTGTTTGGTAATAAATCCTTAGATCAAATTAATCTAAGAATTAGATTAATCAATATCCAAATTAATAACAAAGTAGATGGTAAATTCCTTGGTGTCCTCATCGATAACAAGCTGAATTTCCAGGGACACATTCAAAATTTAGCAAAAAAAAAATCTAAAACTGTTGGCATTCTTTCTAAAATCAGATATTATATACCTCGCTCTGCCCTAGTGACGCTCTATTACTCTCTCATCTATCCTTATCTCAATTATGGTATCTGTGCTTGGGGTTCTACTACCCAAAATCATCTACGTCCTCTAAATACTCAATACAAAGCTGTTATTAGAACAATATCAACCTCTGGGGACAAGGCAAAAGGTACGAATTGTAAGGTGTAGTAGAGGGGACAGTAGTAGGAATAAGAACTGCAGAAGACCCAGTGACCCATACGAGGCAGCTCCTATTATAACCACCGAATGAGAAGGGGATAGTAATAGGAATAAGAAGAGGATAGCAAGGGAACGTAAGAGAAAACAATGAACAGAAAAGAGAGAGAAGAGAGAAAGAAAAGGAAAGAGAAATAAAGATAAATGGAAGGGTAAGCTTACGTTAGGTCACGTTTGTTAGAAAGATTAGAGCATTTGAGTATATACTGTGAAAGGAAAGAGTCCACAGCAACAAAGTCAGGACTCAAGTTCATGTTGGGTACATTGTGTATTAGAGCAGATTCAACAAGACGGCGTCTGTGTAGAGTAGGAGCAGGAAAGATTATTTTGGATGAAGAACAATCAATAGGATGATTAGAATCCCTAACATGACAGAAGAGAGCATTGTTTGTGTCTGCAGACTTAACACTTCTTTTGTGTTCCTAAGTCTGTCATTCAGTGTACGGCCAGTTTCGCCAAAGTATAGGAGAGGACAAGACGAACAGGAAATAGAGTAGACACCAGCAGCATTAGAAGCAGGAGGAGCAGTGTGAACTAGTGTGTTAGTTTGTTAGTTAGCAGTGTGAACTACGAAGTGTGTTAGTTTGTCGAAAGGCGAACTTTGTGTCAAGAGGACGAAAGGTATTAGTAAAAGCTTTATGTTCAGATACGAAGGGAAGGCATAGAACAGTGCTATTAGTGTTGGAAGCAGGTTTAGGATGAAAGAAATTTCGTTTAGCTTCAGAGTAGGCACAGTTGATGAAATGCAAAGGGTAACCAAGGCGAGAGAATGATTTGTAGTTAAAGTCAATTTCAGAATCAAGAAACTGAGGGTCGCTGATGCGTAGAGCGCGGAGGAAGAGAGAGACGAAGACACTTTTCTTAACAGGAGGAGGATGGTAGGAAAATTAGTGAATATACATGCCACTATGTATGGGTTTGCGGTAGACAGAGAGAGAGAACCCGGACACAGAGCTGTGAACGTGAACGTCAAGAAAAGGAAGGAGAGAATTAGATTCCCACTCAACTTTGAAATGCATAGAAGGAGCCAGATTGTTAAGAGAGGAGAAGAGAGGCTGGAAAAGACTAAAGTCATGAGGTCATAAAGCAAAAATGTCATCAACATAGCCAAGCCAGAGAGAGGGACGAGTATCAATAGAAGGAAAAAGAACAGTTTCGAAGTATTCCATGTAGAAATTATCAAGAAGAGGGGAGAGAGGGGAACCCATAGCGACACCGAAAGTTTGAGTGTAATATTTACCGTTGAAAGGGAAAGAGTTAGAGTCAACACAGAGTCTAATGAGTTCGAGGAAAACGTCAGTGGGAAGCGGGAGAAGGAGGCGGCCCTCTGACGCCTTTTGTCTAAGGAAAGAGAGAACGTCATCGAGCGGAACATTAGTGAACAGAGAGTCGACATCAAGACTAAGCATCTTACAAGAGGGTTGCAGGCGCAGTCTTTCTATGAAGTCCTGAGAGTAACGAAGGTGGGCAGGGGAAAAGTGCCAAGGTAAGGCGTCAGGGTTTTAGCGAGTCAGGAGGCAAGAGGATAGCTGACAGCCCCGTGAAGAAATGATAGGACGAAGAGGAACACCAGGTTTATGAGTCTTAGGAAGACCATAGAAATAAGGAAGAGAAGGGCAGATGACACGGAAACGTTTAATGAGATCAAAGTCAGGAGGGCAAAGACTAGAGAGCTGTCTTAGTTTGCGGTTAAAGGAAGTTTTGAGGCGATCCAAAGGGTTATAAGTCAGAGGAGCATAAGTGCGAGAGTCAGAGGGCAAGACATCTGCTTTTCGGAGGTAGTCCTCACGATCAAGGACAACCACCGAATTGCCTTTGTCGGAAGGAAGGATAAGAATAGAGTTGTTAGATTTCAGGGAGGCAAGGGCAAGCTGGAAGCGACGAGGAAGGTGGTGATTTTCAGAAAACAAGCTGTCAAGAACGGGGATAAGGGCCCCTCTAAAGGCAGACAGGTCCGAAAGAGTACTAGAGTTAGAATTGACAAAACTGTGAAAGGAACTAATGAGATCAATGCCACAGCGTGGGCCAGGGGAAGTAGCAAAAGAAAGACAAAGTCCAAGAAGTTCTTGCTGGCGCTTAGAAAGTGTGTAGGATGAAAGGTTGGTAACACAGTCAGAGAGAGAGAGTGAGTGAGTATTTGGCCAAAATACTGAATTAGACTTGTAATTAAACATATTCAGAAGAACTTGATCAGCTGGAGGGAGGGAGGGAATTATCAGGAGAAAGCGCAGATCCATTACGACTATATAGCACATGGAAGGGGTCAGAATAAGAATTAGGGATCGTACGGGGGGGAAGGAATGGTGCCCAACCACTTAGACGGTCGGAGGATTGAACCCCGACCTACATGAAGCGAGACCGTCGTTTTACCGTCCAGCTCAAGTGGTTGGGCAGTTTCCTCCCAACAGTCTTCAAGGTTAAACATACAAGGACATTTCCTTCACTTTTATTAGTTTAAATAACAATTAGTTGTGAGTCAATAAATACAGGTATAAGAGCGCCTGGCTCTGATGGAAGTAGAGAGACGGGGTCAGGGAGGATGCGCAGGGCGAGGTCACAGAGCCCTGGAGGTCACAGAGCCCTGGAGATCACAGAGCCTTGGAGGTCACACAGCCCTGGAGGTCACACAGCCCTGGAGGTCACACAGCCCTGGAGATCACAGAGCCCTGGAGGTCACAGTGCCCTAGAAGACAGCCTCCCGCAGGATACTGCCTGCCAAGAGGACACAGCCTCCTGCAGGACACGGCCCCCCCAAAGGACACATCTCCCCGCAAGACCCCCGCCCCCCAAGAGGACACAGCCTCCCGTAGAACACACGTGAGTGCCGTGTTCATTGAGAGGTGCACCCGACTTACACAATTCAGAACACTAAATTGGATCCCTAATTAAACTGAGCATGTTGATAATTGACTAACTACTGGCTGATGGCAAGTCTGTGGTTGATGTGCGCCTCGCTCCGGCAGTTAGAGCCCAGCTGGGCCAGGCTATAGTAGCTTAATAGCTGAAACATGCACATAGCTTCGCCCCTGGTTAGGGGCGACCGGGAAATATAACGGGCGTCGTCCCCTTACAAGTGGGTATTCTCAAACTTATCTACATAACTGTCACAGTTTATTCAAACAGCGACAACAGACCCAACGGGAAAGAAAATGTGTTGGAGTTTGGTCACTAAATACATTTATAGGCATTAACAGTATAAATGATGATGATGATGATGATAATAATAATATTAATAACAATAATGATAATAGCAGGATGATCTGACAATACTTGGAACAAAAAATCAACGGGTAAAAGTCAAATTACAATGGACCAGACAAGTTGGCCTTCTTGGCGCATGCGCATGGCCTGGCGGTGCTGGGGCAACCATTCTTCCTAATAGAACGTCGCATTTTGACGTATACTCTACCTAAGGCCAACAAATTGTCGTACTAGAAAATGGTAGCGGCCCGCGAAAGTGACATACTGTCCCATTTTCTGTTTTGGGTCCTCTGGTAAGTTAGGATAAAGGCACTGTAGTATGACAGTTTCTTGACAATTGGAAACCTTAGGAGGACGGGCTGGATGGAGAGTGAAGGCACATTGCTGAGGGGGTGACAGCCTAATGTGATCATTCACCTTGCATCAAAACTTCATAATATCAGATAATACAATCTTTCCAGAAGGTAATGTATTTCCTTCAATACAATGTAATAATACAATACAAAACAATGGTAATATAATGTATTTCCAGAAGTCAAACTTACACTTCCTGAATAAATCTGCAATGATGGAAAAATGTCAAAGGAAGTTTTCGGAGAAAGTGTTATAAGGGAACCATGTAAATGAGCAAATTAATTCATTGCGACTGGAAGATAAATGGTAATTTTCATGTCCTGTTTCCCACAACGTGTAGAGAGAAAAGGAGAGGCTGTGGGGCGATCCTGAGAGCTAAGATGAAGAATATTACTCGAAATCGTTGTGCATTTTCTTCCATTCTAACTCTGAGCATGAGACCAGGACACTCTGAGGATGAGACCAGGACACTCTGAGCATGATAGTAGGAAACTGAGCATTTGAGCGGTAAACAGGGACGGAGAACAACATCCACTACTATTTATCAGGAGGCGGGAAGCCAACACCGTACCCCTGGGGAGCACCCACTGCCTCGTCGTCAGGACCAGCAGTAGATACGGCCATCTGCATGACAAAGGATAAACTATAAAGTATGACAAAGGTGCTTGTGCACACGCCCTAAACAGCTAATTAACCAGAAGAACATCGGATGAGAGGTGACGGATGAGGCCTTAACCTAATATTAACACAGTACGAACCTAACCTACCCGCTCCCCACCCGCCCCACACACACACACAAATCATGACATTCATATAAATTAACATTCATTCGCAACGTTCATTTGTTGAGGCACCTGCGCTCCGGGTCACCAGAGGCCGCCACACCACTATGCTTCATGATGTCCTGGAGACGACATCTGGTGTCAGTAAGCATCCCTGCAGTTCCAGGTGCTCCAACAAGCATGAGAACAATCACAGCTGCTCTTACCAGACCAGGTGCGAGGAGACAAGTGCGGTTCATCGCGTGCTGTGAGGAAGACGTTTACGGTACTTGCTTACCAACACGCTGGAGAGCAGAGCAGGGAAGAAGTTGGGTCGCTGGCTTCAGCAGACCGTAGGACGTTCGAGGGAACACAGAACACTTGCTTCGTGCACTCGTTGTCTCTGTCAATACAGACGAGAGCAGCCACAAATGTCTAATAACTTTAAATTAATTAAATCCTCTTACTGGCTTGATTATTATCAAGTGACCCGGAGACAGGACTCAAGCTAAAAGATTGTCTTATCTAAGAACATGAGTCTTAGAGAAAATAAGACTCACTCACTCTCTTTAAGCAGGCGTTAAAGACCCCAACAGACGGCCAGTGCCCACGCCTTAACTAATATGTTACCAGCCAAAAATTATTCCAATAGCCTCGACCGTCTAATTTCATAAATGGAAGTGTGATGGTGTAAGGGGTGGCTCCGTCAGCCTCCTGCAGACACACACACAAGTTCCCAAAAACCTTCCCGGATCCCGAGCGTCCACGCCCCGGTAACTGGGGCGTCGCCTAGGAGCTCTACAGTGACTGGGCAGGTGTCATGATGTAGTTATAATGCAAGCTAATTTGAGTAACACCACCCTTTGTTGCTCTCACTTTAGCTGTGCACATGGACTAAATGGGTCGACTGTATACATTAAAACGATCATATTTTTAATTTGGCAGAATTCTCACACTTAAGTTTAACTTGACTTCAAAATAGCAGGTTAGGTCTGTTTACATGACCCATTTAGCCTCAGGAAAGGAATAGTTTCAGGATGTGTATATACAACATTTGGACTGTCGTGGGAGGAGCGGTGGGCACTGGTGGTTCTTTCTGGGATGAAAAGGACCAGAAACTGACAGGCTGGTAGTAAATTTGGTTCTTTCAGTAGTTTCCTGTGCAAGCACATGTTCTGGAAACAGTTTCGTTTAACAGAGATGGAAGCTTTCTCCTGTACCTCCTTGTTATTTAAAAATTGTCTCCAGTACCAGCTTTCTTCTTGGGTTCTGCGAACAAGTGTTTTTTTTTATATCATTGGTCCTTTTCCTGTACTTCACTAATGCCTCTCAGTAATAAATAATTATACAACAAGGACGCACCGGTCACATTGTTATGGCAGTCCTGTTAAGTGGTAGCAGAAGTTGGGAGAATCGAGACTTGAGCTGTTTTGTCCTGGTGAGCCCGCTATCACTGAACATGGCCCGGGAGGTGGCCTCGCAGAAACTGTACCATGCTGATGATCTGCTGGTTGGGGTGTGGTGCAGCAGGAGACTCCGTAGTGTCTTTCTGCAGCTGTCGGTGGTGGCACATGAAGCCGGCCACCAGCACAGAGATGACGGTACACATAGCCAAAAGCACAAACAGCGCCGAGAATCCTGGTGCTGGCAAACACACTCCATACACAACATCCTCACGGTGGCCCTTGAAGACGGTGACGCGGTCATCCAGCGCAGGAGTGAATTCTAGATCAGCCTCCGAGATGACCTGATAGTCGGAGGAGACGCCAATATTAGTGGCACGAGAATGACGGTCCAAAACCACATCGCGGCGTCGACGGCGAAGGTTTCTCGGACCCCAGGGGAAATCTTCCTTGTAGTTGGGGAGTTCAATTGTTTCACTGCCCTGGAGTGGCGTGCCATCAAGATATATCTGGGCGGATTGCTCATCCGGAATGACAAGAGGACCTTTGGGTACCTTGTTCTTATTTGCCATGGAGTCGAGGGAGGATTGTTGAGGTCTGGGCGCCTCGTCGTCTTTCTTATCGGCAAAACTAGAGACGTCGACATTGTTGGGAGGCTCCTGGTATTGGGCAGCGGGCTCTGCTGGAGAACCATAGGAGTCACTGGGCTGCCGTGGCAGGGCCTGACGACTGTAGTCTCCGAGTGGATTACCCGCAGTCGGTCTCTGACAATGGTCTGGGCAGCCAAAACGACAAATCTCAACTTTACAGCGTAAATGAACGGCCATAGAGTCGGGGAACTTGAAGGCGTGGAACTGGGCGTAGGTGAGGACAGTGGCCCGGCCATCGTTGTTGCGAAGCTTCAGGAATTTGGAGATCATCTTGGGACGCAGGACGCAGCCGTACTGATCACTCAGGTAGATGGGCGAGTTGACCCCGTCAGATGCCTCGCATGAAGTCACCCGCATGTCAAACTCTCCTGTAGATAAAAGGTCAGTTACTAGGGTAAGGTTGCACGGGCAAAGGATAGTGGTTTGCGTTACAAAGATAAATAAAAAGCACCGAGTTGCAAGGGCAAATGCTTGTACTGAACTGCAAGGGCAAATGCATGGCTGTGTTGCAAGAGAAAGAAGAAGTACTGTATACCAAGACCAAGATAGGAGCGAGGCACTCACCTGCCTGGTCGTTGATAGCGATGACCATGGTGAGGGTGGAGCCCAGTGGGACGATGCCCGTGATGGGCGAGGCCCAGGGACCCTTGCCGTCCTGTATCTCCATCCAACAGTCTACGTTGTCACCTGTGGGAATGTTGTGGCAAGTCAGTACTTGTTCATATACATCTGTTGCAAGAATGGCAAGAAATGTCCAAACTCTGCTGTCAACTTGGCTTTTAAAAAGCCAAGTTTTCATGAATTTATATATTTTTCCATTTTTTCTTATGAAATTATAAAGCTATCCATATCATTATTATGATTTTTTTCTTTAGTTAAAACTAAAGTAGATATATGACTGAACCTAACCAACCCTACCTAACCTAACCTAAACTAACATAAGTCAATAATTAATGTTTTTAATATAATATAATAATTAAAATAAACCAATTGGATTTTTTTTAAATAAAGAAAATCACTGACTTAAGCAAATCGGCCTTAATAGTACAATATATATATATATATATATATATATATATATATATATATATATATATATATATATATATATATACCTAGTAGCCAGAACGCACTTCTCGGCCTACTATGCAAGGCCCGATTTGCCTAATAAGTCAAGTTTTCCAGAATAAGATTTAAAAAAAAATTATGAAATTATAAAGATATCCATATCATTATGTATGAGCTAATTTTTGTTAAATATTAAAACTAACGTATATATGACTGAACCTAACCAACCCTACCTAAACTAACCTAAAGTATCATATAAATCAATAATTTATAATTATTATAATATAGTAATATTTAAAATAAACCAATAGGAAACAATTTATATATATCACTCGGCCTATATATATATAGGCCGAGAAGTGCGTTCTGGCTATATATATATATATATATATATATATATATATATATATATATATATATATATATATATATATATATATATATATATGTCGTACCTAATAGCCAGAACGCACTTCTCAGCCTACTATTCAAGGCCCGATTTGCCTAATAAGCCAAGTTTTCATGAATTAATGTTTTTTCGTCTACCTAACCTACCTAACCTAACCTAACCTAGCTTTTTTTGGCTACCTAACCTAACCTTACCTATAAATATAGGTTAGGTTAGGTTAGGTAGGGTTGGTTAGGTTCGGTCATATATCTACGTTAATTTTAACTCCAATAAAAAAAAATTGACCTCATACATAGAGAAAAGGGTTGCTTTATCATTTCATAAGAAAAAATTATAGTAAATATATAATTCAGGAAAACTTGGCTTATTAGGCAAATCGGGCCTTGAATAGTAGGCTGAGAAGTGAGTTCTGGCTACTAGGTACGACATATATATATATATATATATATATAAATGTCGTACCTAGTAGCCAGAACGCACTTCTCGGCCTACTATGCAAGGCCCGATTTGCCTAATAAGTCAAGTTTTCCAGAATTTCAAGATTTAAAAAAAAATTAATATGAAATTATAAAGATATCCATATCATTATGTATGAGCTAATTTTTGTTAAATTTGAGTTAAAACTAACGTAGATATATGACTGAACCTAACCAACCCTACCTAAACTAACCTAAAGTATCATAACTAAATCAATAATTTATGTTCTTATTATAATATAGTAATATTTAAAATAAACCAATAGGAAACAATTTATTGAAAATAAAAAAAATCACTCGGCCTATTAGGCAAATCAGGCCTTGCATAGTAGGCCGAGAAGTGCGTTCTGGCTACTGGGTCGACATTATATATATATATATATATATATATATATATATATATATATATATATATATATATATATATATATATATATATATATATATATATATATATATCTATATATATATATATATATATATATATATATGTATATATATATATATATATATGTATAACCTATATATATATATATATATATATATATATATATATATATATATAATGTCGTTCTCGGCCTACCAAGGCCTATTTGTAGCCAGAACAATAAATTGTTTCATTGGTTTATTTTAAGTAGCCAGAACTTTCTCAGCCTACTATTCAAGGCCCGATTTGCCTAATAAGCCAAGTTTTCCTGAATTAATATATTTACTATAATTTTTTTCTTATGAAATGATAAAGCAACCCTTTTCTCTATGTATGAGGTCAATTTTTTTTATTGGAGTTAAAATTAACGTAGATATATGACCGAACCTAACCAACCCTACCTAACCTAACCTAACCTCTATTTATAGGTAAGGTTAGGTTAGGTAGCCAAAAAAAGCTAGGTTAGGTTAGGTTAGGTAGGTTAGGTAGACGAAAAAACATTAGTTCATGAAAACTTGGCTTATTAGGCAAATCGGGCCTTGAATAGTAGGCTGAGAAGTGCGTTCTGGCTACTAGGTACGACATATATATATATATATATATATATATATATATATATATATATATATATATATATATATATATATATATATATATGCGAACAAGCCTGAATGGTCCCCAGGACTATATGCGAATGAAAACTCACACCCCAGAAGTGACTCGAACCCATACTCCCAGGAGCAACGCAACTGGTAACTACAGGGTGCCTTAATTCACTTGACCATCAGGGCCGTCAAAAGGAAGTGATAGCCGAGGCTATTTGAGCCACTTCCCCGACGGCAACTCGGATGGTAATCTTGGGCATAGCATTTCACCAAATCACCTCATTCTTTGGGGCACACGTGAGGAACACAAATGCGAACAAGCCTGAATGGTCCCCAGGACTATATGCGAATGAAAACTCACACCTGTTGAGAAAACTGTTGGGGTGTGAGTTTTCATTCGCATGTAGTCCTGGGGACCATTCAGGCTTGTTCGCATTTGTGTTCCTCACGTGTGCCCCAAAGAATGAGGTGATTTGGTGAAATGCTATGCCCAAGATTACCATACGAGTTGCTGTCGGGGAAGTGGCTCAAATAGCCTCGGCTATCACTTCCTTTTGACGGCCGTGATGGTCAAGTGGATTAAGGCGCCCTGTAGTTACCAGTTGCGTTGCTCCTGGGAGTATGGGTTCGAGTCACTTCTGGGGTGTGAGTTTTCATTCATATATATATATATATATATATATATATATATATATATATATATATATATATATATATATATATATATATATATATAAAATGGAGAAGGGAGTACCACCTCTAGCTGGAAGAAGGGGGACCCTTAGCCTCGGAGGAAACCACGCATAACGCATTAGAGGGAATGTTTAGATCCCCTCCAATACAGTTTCTGTGTGCTTTTCTCCTACCACCCTCCTATATTATATATATATATATATATATATATATATATATATATATATATATATATATATATATATATATATATATATATATATAATCAGTGTCAGACCATGAATGAATCATTAAGACAGGAATTTCCTTAAGTACTTTCACATTTAATAATACATCCTCAAATGGATGAATTTACAGTTCAGTGGATGTGGATATACGAGCAGTAAAGAGACGAGGTGAGGTACAATGTCTTTAATGTGATATTAATAAGTTATTAGTGAGTTAAATGTGTATCAGTGATCCTACTCAAATCGCTCTTTAACTGACCAATCAAAAATAGATCTAACGTGTTCAAACCTCTGCTAATATTCAAATTACATGATTTTGTAATCTGTATTAAAGCAGATTCATTAATGTTCCTACTGAAATGATTTTACAATTCGTTACTGAAGAAACTCTCTCCCAATCAATTTGATGAGAACTTTCTGACAAATGAACAAAGAAAGCATTAGGAAATTGGCCATGATATTCTTGATTACCTTGCTTATTAATTAATGAACCTTGTATTACTTCTCCCTGTTGAAATTATTGTCAATCTCGTTAAGCTATGTATAAAATAATGTAAATTTACTCTTAATAATGAATATTATTACAGACTTGTAATTTTTTTTCCGAGTATCTGATTCTAAAATATCATCATCTCTGGTATGGGCTATTCATGCCTGTGCCACCACTTGGGTGGTTTAATCATCAATCAATCGATCATCTCCACAGCCCCACTCCTGTGCCAGTAAGTCCACTACGGGGTCTCCATAGCCAGTGCTACTTGGAACTTTTTGTTTCCAGTAGTTGAATCTAAAACAACAACAGCAACTCTATCCTCTCACACACGACTTGATAATGGTCCAGGAAGGACCGTATGGTTTGGTCACCTGCGGATTGGTCACTGATGTGTGGTTTGGTCACCTGTGGATTGGTCACTGATGTGTGGTTTGTCACCAGGGTATAATCTATTCAGATGTGACAGGAGACACAGGCTACAAATGTGAGGTTAGCCTGTACACCAAAGACACTCATCTGCGCTGAAATGCTAAACGCCGCAAACGATATGGTGGAAGTGCAGATAATCAATTTTTAAATTCTAAATTTGGTAATTGTCCTTGTATGTTAGTTACCAAATGCAAATCGTCAGCAGTTTAAAGACAAACTTGTAAAAATAGAATGATGCTTAGAAAACCTCTCAAACCCTGCCCCTAACATCCTCTTTCTTTGTGATTTCAACTTAAAAGCATCTGAAATGGAAAAATGTGGCAAATACTGTTGTAGCAGAGAGAGAAGGAAGCAGTCTGAGTAAACAGTCACACACAAATGACCTCTTGCAGATGTGTGACAGATTTGCTTTAAACAAGCAAATAATCGAAGCGACTAGAAAAGAAAATCCCCCTAGACCTTATTTTTTTACAAAGAACGATGAACTGATTAGCGTTTCTAGCCGAAATGCTGTGTGTGTGTTAGTGGCTTTGCAAGAATGTAAGTACACCAATGTTATGTACTCTCACAAACCCAATCCAACCACTTGGGCTGGACTGTAGAGTGGCGGTCTCGCTTCATGCAGGTCGGCGTTCAATCCCCGATCGTCCAAGTGGTTGGGCACCATTCCTCCCCCCCCCCCGTCCCATCCCAAATCCTTATCCTGACCCCTTCCAGGTGCTATAGTCGTAATGGTTTGGCGCTTTCCTCTGATAGTTCCCTTCCCATCACAAACGCAAGGTACCCTCTTGTATATAAATACAAATAAAAATAAATTTATGGACATAATAATCACATGTTACTCAGAACACAACATAATCGAAGCTCAAACAAGCATGAGCAACAGCCCTGAGCAGCCAGTCTCAACTCCAAGAGGAGGAAAATTCAGAAAATTCAAATTTAATAAAGGAACTCATTAACTGGGAACGAATAACCCAAGACCTCACATAACTATGCTGTGCAGAACAGCTAGATAACGCAAACTTAAAACCACTGTATCGAGAAAATAGGCTCTTAGAAATATGTGGAAGGCACATATCACTAAGAAAAAAAAGAGAAAAAGATGAAATTGGAACGAGAACGGCGCTCCCTCTATAAGGTAAGAAACCAACCAGCAGAACATCTCAAACTCTCCACTCTATCCCAACAAGGACAAGGAAGGATGTGTAGGGAAACAGAAATGATCGCACTCAAGCGGCAAGAATCATAGAAAATCCAAAAGTGGCAAAGAGAACAAAATGCCATTAGAGAAAGAGAGAGGAATCTGAAATCCCTTTTCTCCTATTCCAAACTAGAACATAAAACATCATCGAGCATTAAGGCCTGGTGTAAGGGGGACGGAACTATCACAGATGACAACTGTTATGACTCAATGTTTACATGATGTTATTAATATACACTCCGTCCTAACGTGTCAATAGAATCTAATAATTACTGTCATTTATTTAATAATATGTCAGTCATGTTTAAGTAACCAGGTGTGTTTTGACACTTCCATATCATTTTTTTTATTTTCTATTTCCTACCACAGACGTGGCCACACATTTACAGTGCTAACCAGAATATATACATTTTCTTCTGTCCTCCATGGATAGGATTAGAGATCTGTTAAACATATAATTCAGTGATTTATTGAACATATAAGTGAATGTATACGAATATTTGCAGATTGTATTTGATATATTTGGGCGATGTCAAACCGTTTAACTACGTATGAAAGATTGAGCGGCGTGTGTGAGTGTGTAATTACCTAAAAGTAATTACCTAAGTGTAGTTACAGGATGAGAGCTACGTGTGTGTGTGTGTGTGTGTGTGTGTACTCACCTAGTTGTACTCACCTAGTTGTGTTTGCAGGGGTTGAGCTCTGGCTCTTTGGTCCCGCCTCTCAACCGCCAATCAACAGGTGTGTGTACTCACATAGTTGTATTTGCGGGGGTTGAGCTCTGGCTCTTTGGTCCCGCCTCTCAACCGTCAATCAACTGATGTACAGATTCCTGAGCCTACTGGGCTCTGTCATATCTATATTTGAAAGTGTGTATGGAGTCAGCCTCCACCACATCACTTCCTAGTGCATTCCATTTACTAACTACTCTGACACTGAAAAAGTTCTTTCTAATGTCTCTGTGGCTCATTTGGGTACTCAGCTTCCACCTGTGTCCCCTTGTGCATGTGCCACCCGTGTTAAATAATCCATCCTTGCCCACCCTGTCAATTCCCCTGAGAATTTTGTATGTGGTGATCATGTCCCCCCTAGCTCTTCTGTCTTCCAGCGACGTGAGGTGCAGTTCACGTAGTCTGTCCTCATAACTCATGCCTCATAGTTCTGGGACTAACCTAGTGGCATACCTCTGAACTTTTTCCAGCTTCGTCTTGTGCTTGACTAGGTACGGACTCCATGCTGGGGCTGCATACCTCAGGATTGGTCTTACATATGTGGTGTACAAGGTTCTGAAGGATTCCTTACACAGGTTTCTGAAAGCAGTTCTGATGTTAGCCAGCCTCGCATAGGCCGCTGATGTTATTCTTTTGATGTGGGCTTCATGAGACAGGTTTGGCGTGATATCAACTCCCAGATCTTTCTCTGTCCGTTTCGTGAAGGACTTCATCTCCCATTCGGTATCCAGCGACTGGCCTCCTAGTTCCTCCTCCTAGTTTCATTACCTTACATTTACTTGTGTTGAACTTTAGTAGCCATTTGTCGGACCATTCCTTCAGTTTGTCTAGGTCATCTTGTAGCCTCATACTATCCTCCTCTGTCCTGATCCTCCTCATAATTTTCGCATCATCAGCAAACATCGAGAGGAACACATCGTGTGTGTGTGTGTGTGTGTGTGTGTGTGTGTGTAGCAGTTAACGCCGTACTTTCCATCTCAGTTATGAGCTAGTAGATACAGATGAGCTAGTAGATACAGATGAGCTAGTAGATACAGATGAGCTAGTAGATACAGATGAGCTAGTAGATATAGATGAGCTAGTAGATATAGACAGTGTTGATGGCGTGGTGGCTCACCTCTGAAGTTGAGTTCGACCACCTCGAGGTCCGCGATCTTCATGGGCGGCTTGCTGGCCGTCTTCTCGTAGTCGTTGTACCACTCGCAGCGGAGTCGCTTGGCCTCGTCCCACACCTGCAACACTCCCCAGAGTTAGTGCGTCACTAAGGGGTTAGTATGTCACTAAGGGGGTTAGTACGTCACTAAGGGGGTTAGTACGTCACTA